CTCGGACATAGCCATCAGCGGATGCATCGAGAGTCTTGCACCGACCATCGGGGGCCAACATGCCGGCTCGCTGAAACATTGCGGTTGTGTACGCGAGAAGCGTGAGGTTGACACCACAAATGGCTGCAGTGGCACATTCCCGCGTGCCAACGGCACGTGTGCCGATATGCGCAGCAACGAGCGACGACGAACATGCGGTGTCAATGCTGAGGGCCGGTCCTTTCAGGTCAAATGTGTATGCCAGTCGACCAGACGCGACGCTTTGTGATGTTCCTGATGCGGTTTGAGACGTAAATCCATTTATATCTCTTGCAATAATTTTTGCGTAATCTACGTATGACATTCCAGTGTAGACACCAATAGCTTTTTTTTCCATACAAGACATTACATCTGCGTTTACCGCAGTAAGTAGCAATACTCGCTGCTGAGGGTCCGTGTTGATTGCTTCGGCAACTCGCATGCCAAACAACCTCGGATCAAAACATTCAATGCTGTCTATGATACTACCAAAGGCTGAAGCTTGAGCGACATCTGTATCACAGTCACCCAGGTGTCGTGACGAAGTGAGCACTTCGATTGTATCAAACAACGACGGCACCACGCCGTTCAGAGAATCAACCATTGAAACGTAACAAATGTCTCTGTTCTCCGTGATATTCTCACACACATTCAAGGGTGCATATGGAATTTTAACTTCACTGCCAGCTAAATACCTTGCAACAGCGGCAGCAGTTGGGAAGTTAAATAATAATATGTCATTAATATCCGTGCGATGCAGCTCATTCCGTAATTTCGTCGCGATACAAACTGCATCCGCGGACTTAAGTCCTAGCGAGCTAATAAGTGATACTTCAGGGTTGATTGTATTGTCAGCACATCCGGTAACAGTGGCGACTGCGCGAAGTACGATCGGAAGCAACGCACCTGGCAGTCCATGAAGTTGTGATTGATAGATGGACTTTCCATCTTCAGACGCCCACAAGCACCTGACAATATCATGTAATACTCGATTTATCATCAATTCACTGCCTAATGGGCCAAAATGTAAACATATAAACTTTAGGCCAGAGTTGTTGCTACGGGCACCTGTGAGGATAAGGCAAAACGAAATGCTCTCTGGCCAAGACACAGGCATGCAGCCGAGGGCATGTACTAACGCCTCTGCCGCTGGATCGCCAATTCTTTGGGTGAAAATTTCAGCACCTCTTGTTGGAGACGCCACATCAATGTGCGGTGGAGGCGACAGACATGCACTAACCATGGTCTCATCGACTATTGAGAATTGAGAAGCCAGAACTTTCAAGGCTATGGTCGGTTGAGAGACGGTCATTCTCCTGCGAAATATATCTTTTGGGAATAACTTTACCATGCTTGCGAGGTATACACCACCGTGAAATGGTACGGTAGTCGCGACACCTCGTAAGCAGATTTTCGTTTTGTTCAAAGAATCGTTGATGTGCTGTCGAAATAAGCACAAGCCAAGAGGGGCACCACCAACGACATTAGACATTTCCCCGTTGTTCAGGAAGATGCCCAGGCGTGTAGAGTGAGGAAGTTCCCTATTGAAGTTATCTACGAGCTTCTCGAGCGCCATGACATGCATCCCGGAGACACATGTCATGCAGACGTGAGTGTTTCCCTCCAGGGCAACGTGTGCTGTGCCAACTTTGGGTGACGTGAGAGCTGTCGCGTGAGCTGTCACAGCTTGTGCTCTGACACCGCTCCAAAGCAAGCATTGTGCACATCTCCTTCCTATCGCTGTGACACTTTGAACATTATCCGCCACGGCGACGATGAGAGCGGCCGCGATTCCCTGGGAGTGTCCAATGGCAGTGCCAAGTGGGGAAAAGTAAGTGCCATGCTCCAGAGCTGCAAGATGATGAGCAAGATCAACTATTTGAGAGACAAAAATCAGTGGGCTTGACACTGGGGCACTCGCCAAGAGAGCTGCAATAGGCACCGTGACCGATACTTCCAACTTATTATCGATGTACTTTTGAAAGGAAAACTGATCCTGGTCCCTGTCAACGGAAAGTTCTGCAGGAGACGAAGGCGAAGACAATGTCGGCGATACGACATGCGACTTCTGCTTTAGCCCACCTTGTGTTGGACATTCCCTTTGTGAATAAACTGATAAAACCTCGGATGCAAAAATCGAACGGAAGTTGACCGGGAGATGCGTCGCCAACGAATTCGTCTCAACGCAGTCCCGCTCAAGGTCCAGCATGTGAAGAAGCTCATCTGCAGTGTCTGCTGTCAAAGCAGCAGAGACGTAAGACTTGTCATCGGCAACAGTTCCAGTGACTGATGTTCTGAGGTACGAAAAGTAGGGATAACCCTGGCCGCCAAAGTGGAGTAGTGAGGGAATCGTATCTCCAGTGTCGGCAGCGCTGTCATCGTTGTCATAATCGAATGTGTTGTCATAATCGAAGTGTTGATTCATGCTCTGTCAAAAGAGTTTCGACGACAAAAAAGTTTTCATTAACAGAAAATCTCGGGTATGAACGGTAAGAGGAGACCTAACGATAGATGCTCGCAGGACATTTCATAGCGGATGTCTGACGTGTGAAGTGTCGCCGCACGTGCACGCTGCCTCAAGACCGGACGTGGCGAACTGTCGGAATCCGCAAGTCTTATCGAGCGGGAGAAAAGGTCTTGTCATTTCGAGGGAGATGCGAGTTCTCACCCGGCTATTCACAACTGCGCCGGAGTCGTGCAGCGGCGAATCAAATATGCTAGCCAGATGAAAGAAAAAAAGAAACTTCAAACGCGACTGCCAGACGAAGCAAGATCGCAGCCGGAGCTCGATTCGGCACAAAGTGTGCGGAGTGACGTTTCGTGTCCTTCCGTTCTCGTCAGGTCTTTTCGGGAAGCTCTGGTATTCGATCAAAGCAGCCAGGCCCATCAATGTACACGACTACACGTACTGTACACGTACTGTACGTGTACTTCCTGTAATCAGATCTACACTTCCTGTACTGTACAGCACGTGTACACTAAAAACGAGTTTTTCAGCGACTCCCGGTCGCTTTTTCTCGCTAGGTTGCTCGCTGATGTTCACATGTTTTGCCCGGATGGGTTAGAGCTCAGTTTTTGTGTAATATAATTTACACAACTCACACTAAAAACGCAGCTCACGTAGCTAACTAGCCCTACTGTAGTGTACAATATTGTACGGTAGTATGATATGAATATCAGTTGAATATCTATCACTGCACCGAAGATAGATACAGCTGTACCTCCGAAGGTACAACGTTGTAGTGTAAGTGTACATGTACGTGTACAGCTGTACACAGCTACACACACTACAGCTGTACTTTAAAGTACGAAAGTACTTTCGAAAGTACTTTCGAAAATAGATACGAAAGTACGAAAGTACTTTCGTACGAAAGTACGAAAGTACTTTCGTACCTTCGTACTTTCGTACATGTGTGTATTATCTTCGAAGGTATGATAGATCTGATACTGAGCTATCTGTAACCGTTGTACATGTACACGTACGTGTAGTGTTGTACACGTACGTGTATTCTACGAAGGTATCCATTATTAGCAACTTTCGGATTTCGTCGAGTACGATACGTGTTGTCCTGAATAAAAGCACTGCCAGAATTTTAACCGTTAGGTCCCGATTTGTTTGTACGTCCCATCGAAAATCCGAACTGAATGCGCTATGCGGTCGTTCTCGTACAAAAAGTCGGGGAGTTTGAACCGAGATTGGCGAGTTCGGTCGACGATTTCGACCGACCGCGCGTACTCGCGCGCGCGCTACCGCGCCGTCGCCGCGCCTGTCGACTTCAAATTGTGCACGGACGTCCGGAAGTATAGATTGAGTGCGCAAAACGAAATCTCACTGTTTTTCCATCAGGGGAATAGTGAATCACGTTACAAGGAACGCCGAACGAGGTTCTTTAGGCGAATTCCGCACTTTCCGCGATCGCGAGGGGCGCGCGCGCCAGGAATGTGACTCTTTCAGGACATTCGGTTGGACAAAAGTAATTATATTTCTATACTTCCGGAAGTACACTACTACTGTACTGTACAACATTATGATACGTGTACAACGTTGTACACGTACGTGTACACGTGTACCGCTGTACACGGTACTTCCGGAAGTATTTTCGAAAGTACCTTCGAAGGTACGAAAGTACTTTCGTACGGAAGTACAAAGTACCTTCGAAGGTAGCTAGGGCTACACGTACACGTGTACGTGTACGTGTAGTCGTGTACGAAGGTACCTCCGAAGGTAATTGACCGGAGCTTGAAAGACGTGTACGTGTACAGTTGACTTACTTGACCGGAGCTTGAAAGACTTTGTGTTGCTTTGTAGACCAACGCGATGCTCGACTGTACACGTAGGGTACCCTAGTGCGTGTTTATACAAGTACCTTCGTAATATAAAAAGTGAGCAGTCGGGTGAAGCCTGACAGTCTCTAGCCCTATCTATCTTTATACTTGTACTTTCGTACTTTCGAAAGTACTTTCGTACGAAAGTACGAAAGTACGAAAGTACGAAAGTACTTTCGTACGAAAGTACCTTCGAAGGTACAGTAGTAGACTACAGTACCTGTACACGTACCTTCGTACGAAGGTAGTAGCTAGCTAGCTACTGCGCTACTGTCACTTGTCAGAAGTACCTTCGGTACACAACTACACATACAGTACGTGTACACGTAGTACGTTCGTACTTTCGAAAGTACTTTCGTAGTACGGAAGTACTTTCTCACTTCTGTACTTCCGTACCTTACACGTATACTGTACACTATACAGAGTACACTCTCAAGGATAGTCTAGCTAGCTAGCTAGGCAGGTCTACAACGTTGTAGAGTACAAAGTACTTTCGTACGAAGATAGCTACTACGAAACGTACTTCCGGAAGTAGTGTACTTTCGTACGGAAATATCTAGCTAGCTAGCTAGCTAGCTAGACTACGTGTACACATAAACGTGTACGTGTACCTTCGAAGGTACTTTCGTACTTTCGTACTTTCGTACTTTCGTACGAAGGTAGCTAGCTACCTTCCGAAGGTAGCTAGCTAGCTACCAGGGGATGACTATTAAAATTTCGACAATATTAGTACACGTAAATACTGTACACGTACATGACTGCCGGAAAAAAAAGTAAATAAATAAGTATTTCAAAGTACTGCAGTTTTAACTCATAATCGCCGGTCTAATTCCGCTCGCCCCGCAAAAATAAATACTTTCGAAAAACTAAGTAAAATATTTATTTACTATTAAAAGTTATCCCCTGCTGATAGCTACTAGCTACGTAGCTAGCTAGTATCTACACGTACACAGCTACACACACTCTACTCAAATACTGTACCACAATTGATAAATGTTGTACTGTATGTGTACTGTAGTTGTGTACTTTCGGAAGTATTCTATACGGACTTTCGTACGAAAGTTCTTCGGAAGTACGGAAGTACACTTGTAGTTTAGCTCTCTATCTGTACTTTTGGTACATGTACGTGTACACGTACGTGTACACGTGTACTGTACAGTAGCCCAAATACTAATTGTCTGAGTGGACTAAAACAAAAATGGGCAGCTTCTGCAAAGGAGCTTCGACGACAATCCAACAAGGCCCCGTGTGTGGTTGGCAATGATCGATCCCTGCAATATCCCTCCACTCAAGCCATTGCCCACGTGGTAGATACACTCTTCGCTCGCGCGCACCCTGCTGCACAACAGGTGCAACCACCACATCAACACCAATAGCAAACTGGTCGTCAATACAAAATGTTTCGGGATCCAAAGGGTCAAGCCACCATATTGGTCGGCAAATTGGAAGCAGGCTCGTTGCTGCACTCGCTGCAAGTTTTTCTATTCTAGGAAGAAGTACCTTCTCACGTATCCGTTGTGCTGCAAAACACGCCTCCTTTGCCTCGATGCTGACCTTCCATGGCGGAATTGACCACTGAACAACCGGCATCAAAACACTCGCCTGCGCCCAACGAATCATTAACTCAGTATCGGGAAATTGTCCCCAATATGCATTTCCACCAACCATATCTGGTAGGGTGAATGGGTATCCTAGAACAGCGGATGTTAATAAGGCTGGAATGAGGGACTGCAAGCCGTTTTCAACACCCCACACGGTATCACGATCACCCATTCGAACCAATCCACCGTAGCCAGAAGTCCACATTGAGCTTCGCACTTCAGAAAGAGGAAAACAACTAGCAACTTTATGAACCCAAAGCTGAGTGTACTCCCCAGGATATCTAAGTTGCCGTCGAGTGAGGGCGCCTTTAGGCAGAAAACATGGCTCGCCGGCATCGAACTTGAAGCCATCAACACCGATTTCAAGTTGAAGCTTTTGCAAACGACGTACAAACCATTCAACAGCTTCGTCATTTGTCAAGTCGATGGCCCGCACTGGTTGGGTTCCCCACCATCGCAGCTGGCCAGAGTACAGCACTCCGCCTCCTCCACCACCTTCCCAGTGGCCTGGTGGCCAATCGTATTGATCAACAAGGACTTTGATGGAGGCCCCAAACCTTTCACCAAGTCCACCCACCAAAACTTCATTCACGATGCTCGGAGGTTTCCCCCCGTCAACGAGATATCCAAGTCTTTTTGCCTCTGAGCAGGCAGATGATGATTCCTGCAAAAATGGCATGACCCATAAAGTTACCAAGAAACCAAGTTCATGAAGTTGTTCAATCATTTGCTTGGGGTGTGGAAACTTCAACGAGTCGAACTTAAGATCTCCATATCGTGACTGCCATCGATCGTCTATTTCAAGGACACCTGGTTGAAACCCATTCTGAATAACTGCTTCAGCAAGTGCTACTGTGTCCGATTGAGTAATATCTGCGTGTGAAGTTGCCCAGGTTGTCCATATCGACCGCTGAAAGAAGACTGCAGGTGGCATCTGATGTGGTGACTGTAGTGGAGACAAAGCTGCAAGTGTTGCAGTCCGCACATCACTGTGTGCACTAACGGCAACACGAAGAACACATATATCATAGTAACCCATGCCAGAGACAGATTTTTTCTGGGATTTGTTGCAAGTGTCATACTTTATCGTGTCGTCTTTAGTGGCATATCCTGACGAACAAATATCTTGCCATGGGTGCAAAGTTCCTCTATCGTACCAAGACGCTCGTGCTTGCAACCGTAACTTTCCGTCCCCTTCAGACACATTACCCAGCTCAGCCGAATGGTCCTCTCGAGGCAATAGCTCTTGGGTAACGTGTTGAACTCCTACTCCGAAATATCTCGGTGTAAACGTGGATCGCTGTTCTAGCGGGGCATTTAGACCTGCATGCAGCATCGGTGTCTCAGGATCTACTGCAACTAGCAAGCCACGGCTATTAACCCAGTGCGTCCCAACTACTGAGCCAAGCCCATTTGGGCCATGATCGAATGGATACAGTGGGCCCACTTCCCAATTCGCACGTTCTAGCGGCCATAGCTGGCGAAGGAGGTGAGCCCCGCCGTACCAGTGAGATCCAGAATCTAGTTCTACAGTAAGTTCAGCAGCCGGTATTGGGAGATCTACCAGGTCATCCGAAGCTGAAGTCATCGCAGGGGCAGTAAATTCTATGTGAAAACCTTCACGGTTACTGTTCGTCCAACGCAAAAACCTTTGGGAACCTTTGTTCGAACTTGCTGCCCATATCACAAGTTTGACTCCACCCGACCACTCAAGCATTATAAGTGAGCTAGAAGGAGCCCTATCTCCGTGAACTTGCCGACAACCAGTTGTAAATGAGGGCAGTGTCACAGAAAGCCGCTGAGGAGTAGCACGTTCGCCTGGACCGTTCAGAACCATCGTTCCGTCCTGCCGTATGGTGAGACAAGAATCACCGTCATATACTAACCATTCTGTAGAGAGCGCAGTTGGTGCAAACGGAACTGAAGCAGATGCTGATGCTGGTAATACAGTACACGCAGTGAAAGCACCGAAAAGAAAAGAAGCCGACTTCGTTATCGCACTTCGGCGCGTGAAGATCGTACTACACGTACACGTGTGGACTAGAAAGTTTGCACTATTTGTACCGAACGAATCTGCTTGGAATTCGGCTTGTACAAGAGCCGAGCCAACACTCACCCTGTGTCGTTTGATGGATTTCGAAGATTTCGTATGGAGGTATCCTCCGACGTGCAGGTCGCAATATCGCGAATTTGCGGCCATAACACACGGACTTAAATGCGTTCCACTTATATTCCTTGGCAACGGATCATTTCTGAGCCTTCGAAGGTATAGATGCGTCAGGTAGAAGCCTCAGATAGTCCCGTTCAGTGAGTCAGTGCAGTGACGGAATTCCGGTCCTTTCCATGCGAAAAACTGATAATTATCACTGTGGGCAATCGGTCACGAGTACGAGTAGGTTTTTCGCACTCAATTTTGGTGATTTTCCAGGTGATTATTCATGCCATTGGCGTTCGCGGCCCAGGGCGGAGCTGGGAGGGTGGGGGGTGGTTNGNG